GGCGTATACATGTTCAGTAAAATATGCACGGGCCCTGTACTAAAAAGAAGGGAAAGGGATTTAGGAATCCAAGGGGGAATAATAGTAAGTGATTAACGTGTCAAGAAGAGACAAAGGCGCAGAGGGAAATAATATGGCCCACTACACCCGCTCCAAAAATTAAAAATAAATAAATAAATAAATAAACATGTGAGATATTGTACATGAGTAGACAAATTGGGTTAAACAGATCAGCACTCTGACCAGCCATGATAGCTGATATACGTCTAAAGATTGGTTTTTCTGCCCACAAAATTTAGATACGAATTATTTCATCTAATTTGAGAAAAGTGATATATATATATCCTCCTAGCAAAAATGTGTCACCCGTACCGCAATGCGTAAAGTGATACGGAGAAGCTGTTTATATTTCAACTTCTAAAAGGTTTTCTTCAAAAAAAAAAATTACTGATTGTACAACCATAGTGAAAAATAAAACCGCCCTTTGGTATTTTGTATAGGGTATACTGACGCGTTCGTGCGTGGAGTCAAAAGGTCCTGATATTGTATTAGTAGACTTGTTAAGAGGATAAACTCTACATCTTATAATAAAAATGTCTTACTTGAATGAATAAGTGACTTCCAATATATATGTCTGTGAAAGCTGTAAAACCATGGATATTGCACCCCTACTAAAATGTTTGCTCAGTGATGGCGTTGGACAAAGATAGTATGAGGTCATTTTTGCAGGTATAATTCTTCAGTTACCCATTACAAAGTATAACCCACACATTCTCAATGAGGTTCTGATTTAGGGATTGAATCAGCCATTGGTGGCTCTTGATCTGGTTCGGCAAACCAGCCTACTCTTTCATTGGCTGTATATGTGGAGGAGAATCATCATGCTGAAACATAAACAGGTGGTCTTGGCCCCCAAAGATATATTTCGACAAAATTCCTTCCAGTACTTGGATGGATGGGCCTGCGGTTAGGGTCCCGTTTACCACTGGTAGCTCGCCTACATCAATTATTATAAGTGAGTTATTTGTCTGCCTGCCTATTTGTAAAAGGTTAATAAGGGATTTTAGATATTAGAAATGACAAACAGTAGATTTTGGTGGAGATTTATAAATTTTAAAATCAGTCTGTAAAAACTGTATAAGTTAGATGATTAGTTGATTGGTTAATGAATTAATAATGAGTATTTAGTTATTCAAATTATTTTGTTACTTTATTAATAATAATGATATCTGTGTTATACGAATATTTTGATAAATAAACCACTAAAAAATTCTGTGAACTAAAATATTGTGAACTGAGCTACCTTGGCGGAGGTCCGTGCTCTCCGACTGCTTTTCTGGTTCAGTCATTTGATTCATATGTTACTGAAATAAATCTGAAATACGTAAGTCTTCAATACCAACAGACGTCCTTTTCTCATGGGCCCCATGTAATGTATCAAAAATTTCCTTGGCCTAGTATAAAACTTACGGTGCATTCCCAGTGATTTAGATCGATCCAGAGATTTAGATTTAGATCGACCTAACTCCCTGGGGGTTCACGCTAAATTGCAGTCAGCCGAGCGCGCGCCATAGTTAATTACCCCCTTACAGCTTTTAGTAGGCGGGACAGACGCTTAAGCCGGCTAAGCTGACAGTAATCTAGTGAGACTCCCCACAGGGATAGATTGATCTAAAATCTATGGGAATGGGGTCTTATTCTTGTGTAACCATGACTAGAATTCTTACAATTCGCCATATAATATGAACAACCAATTTTCTTGTTGAAGAAATACGTTTTAAACTCAACATAGCTATAGTAACAGACGGAAACTCGGTGTGGTTGAAATTTTCACCCTGTAATAAACAGTCACAAATAATGAGATAAAATGTCATTTAACAAACAATAAATATAATAAATATATGGTTACTGTTACAGTTACGCTTATACTTCTACATATCGTTCTGTGGTAACTATAACTGGATGCATCTCTTTAAAAAGAAATACATGTAAATTGCTTTATGATAAATATACTTAATGTGGTTTAATACAGCTTTCCTTGATTTAATTCAGGGGTTTAGTCTGAAAACTAGAAAGTACAAAATGATGTAGTATAGCAGTTCGACACGTAAAAGATGACATAGAAAAACAGATCGTAAATTGAACTAAAATAGACGAGACGATCACCAACGTACCAAATGCAGCGAACGAATCTAGAAGTGGGCTCTCTATCATGGGGGACTCTCTGTGACGTTACACCAGATTTCGAACAGTGCTAGGAACGCTGTTCGAAATCTGATGTAGCGTAACAGAGTCCCCCATGATAGAGAGTCCGCTTGTAGATTTTGACGCACTTAGACCAGGCTAATCCTAACCATTATAACAAAAATATAGGGCGGACTTTCTATTACACGAATCCACAGTTTTGTTTCAACGTCGTTAGTCTTATACGCTGAGACATCACATAACACAAACGCGGGAAGACAGAACATACACACACTGGACAAAAGAAGTGTCACCCCCTAACTCAGAGTAATGAAAGTAGGCAGATCTTGGGTACTTATAATGCCTGGTCTACTTATAATGTGCCTAATGAGTATAAAACCGCTATACCATGGAATTGTATTGTTGGTCTTGTACATGTACAGCAAATGTTATTCCTGTCTTCCTCCAGTATGGCAAGATACAGGTAATTATCTAACGGTTATAGGTACAAGTTATTAACCTGAAGAGGCGGAATATAAGCAATGTCAGAACATCGATACAATTGAATTGTTCAGTCAGAACCGTGCAGAGGGTCTGGTCTCGGTATAGAAACACTGGATCAAGAGACAAATTGCCTCTGATGGGTCGTCCAAGAAATAATACTGGCCGTGAAGACCGACGACTGATTTTGATATCCAGGTTGTATTGGCTCAGTAGGGGTGACACTTCTTTTGTCCAGTGTGTGTAGGAACAGAGAAAACACCAATAAAGAGGGCGTCATAGAAACTCACACCAAATCAAGACAAGACAAGACAACTCAAGACGAGGGCACATTTACTCATAGTTGCACTATTTTCAGTAGTATTATCATTTGTTTACTTTTTATACTTTTAAAATTAAAATTGCATTGTCATTGTCATTCATATGTCATATTCCTTTATCTTCGATATGTCAATATATTACCTTCTATCGTTTATATCTTATCATTACCAAAAGGGCATTAAATAATTTAACACAAAGGTGAAAGCTAAATATAAAAGATACAAAGCAACTTTTACAGTGCTTTTGTTTCAGATATTCCTGACAACAGTGGCAAGGAATTCGTCATCGGTTTTATGGACAATTTTGGCATCGAAAGTTTGAACTTATTTCTCACCACCAACAATCCTGACACAGTTCAAGTCAATATCACTGCCCATCCCAACCTGTTAAACCTTCTTCCACTTCAAAGCAGAACGGCAAACGTAAGCCGTGGCTCAGTTACGAAGGTTGAGATCCCAATAAGCTTTGCCATGAAGACCACATACACACAGTTTAAAGGTTTGCTTTTATCCTCAGATGACGAATTCATAGTGTACGGTTCCAACGCTATGTCATCAAGTTTGGATGCGTTTCTAGCCTTACCAGTTTATACTTTGGGGCAGGAGTACATCACAGGCAGTTATGAAGTCTGTTTAGGTGCTCATCCTGCACTTGTAGGACTGATTGGGATTCAAAATAGTACACATATAGAAATAACTCCTCCTCCGGGCAAAAGTATATTTGTTATGGGTAGCACAGTAAGTTCCAAAACACAAGTTATTCTGAACAGACTTGAGACCATTCAAATCCAATCTTACAGTGACATCACGGGCACTATAATCAATTCATCAAAACCACTAGCAGTAATGTCAGGTAATAAGTGCACCGAAGTGCCCTGTGGAGTAGTTGCCTGTGATCATTTGGTGGAACAGATGTATCCAATCGATAGATGGGGCTATACGTACACAGTTGTTCCATCAGCTTACCGACAAAGTGGGGACATTATCCGTGTTGTAGGCAGCAGTGATGACACCGTGGTCGACATAACGGGTGTGCCGCGTTTAGTTCTTCATAAATCCGAGTTCTATGAATTCAAAGTATTGAAGAAGGCACCTGTGTTTGTCAATGCCAGTAAGCCGGTAATGGTGCTGCAGTTTTCTCAGAGCCAAAACACGGATGGTCTAGAAAGTGATCCTTATATGATGGTTGTGCCTGCCATAGAACAATTCTCATCTAGTTACACCATCGCTACCGCCAATCTTCCTGACAAAGTTTACATAAACTTTGTCAATATAGTCACCAAGAACAGTTCTAAAGAAGGCCTCAGAGTTGATGGAGCCGCTCTCAATGGTATTACATGGTTAGCCATTCCCGGAACAGACTTTACTGCTGTTCAGCTGAACGTCACTGCGGGCACACATCGCATAGAACACATTTCTCCTATTCAGACTTTCTCGGTATTCTCCTACGGGTTTGCAAGTTATGTTTCTTATGGCTATCCAGGAGGACTGAGACTGGCAAACCTGGACTTGACTAAATGTCTGCCGAATCCTGGTCAACCAGCAGATGGCGTTGATAACGACTGTGACATGAAAATTGACGAAGAACTGTTTAATGGTATTGATGATGACAACGATGGCGTAATTGATGAGGATTTGTCCTCCCTACCGCCGGAGGTGGACTTTCCAAAAGATACTGTCATCGTGTCAGGTAAAGAGAAGCCAAGGTGCTTTAACATATTCCTGAAGCATAAAAATTAGGGGATTTTTGAAAATGCTCAATTTCCTTTGGGGTAGATAGACTACAGCAATATTCACTTCTAAACTTTTGTGGTTCATTTGCAGGTAATGCGACACTAATCCATAACCTAGCGAATGAAGCTGGCACCCCAAATGCGACTGCATCTGAGCGCTGTGTTGCCTATCGCGATATCACCATCAACTTCACAGATTCGACCAATGACAATGGCTGTGGGATGGACATAGAGCGCACGTGGTTCGTTCAAGACGGGTGTGGGAACATCGTAAAGGCGACTCAGAACGTGTCTGTGTACAGCTCGTGGAAAGCCTTCCGGGCAGATCCGTTATTCAATTGTATGGATGTGCTGCAGAGAGTTGGCTGCAACGAGAGCACAGAAGGCAAGTTTAAGGCTTTTAAAATCAAGTTAACGTGATACAACTTGTGCAGATATGATAAAAATCGAGGTAAAGACAATATATTTCAAGTAAAATTCAGGTTGCAATGGCATAAATTATAATCAACTATTGCTGATATTAACTGTGAATATAACTTGCTTCGTGCCATATACACACACTGGACAATAGAAGTGTCAACCCTACTGAACCAATACTATGGGGGAGATAAATGACTGTGGAATGATATGCTCCTGGTATCATTTTATTAACATCAAATTTCACAAAAAGTCACAAAATGAGAACAAAATATGCAGTTTCAAGTCCAAAATTAGTACTTAGTGGCATAGCCACGTGACCTAATAAAAGGTGCCAGTCTACGAGGCAAGGATTCATATAATTGTCTGATGCGTTCAGGGCTTATGCTGGCCCAAGCATGAAACACTGAATATATCAGAGTTTCTCTGCTGGTTAGACGGGCATTTGTCAAAAGTTTTGACATATCATTCCACACGTTTTCTATTATGTTTGCATCCGGACTCTTGGTCAAACCAATCATCAACTGCTCTAGGCCTGTGACAAGGAGCATTGTCATCCTGGTGAACAAATGGATAATTCCTGTCACCAAACACGTTAGTAATAGATGGTAGCAAGCCTGACTCCAAAACATCGATATATTTCTAGTGATTCATGTTTCCATCAACCACAATCAATTCGCCCACGCCATGGATGCTGATGCAGCCCCACACCATGATGGATATGCTTCTCCGGGTTCTAAAATTCAGTGCATGTGGTTCAAATGCTTTACCAGCAGTTCGCCATTATCGTACCCGTCTGTCATCAGAGGTCATACCATAGCGACACACATCAGAGAAAAATATATAGGGCCAATTGTCATGGACTGTCCAGTTCCAGATCCTGTTGACCCTAGTTCACTCTACGTTGCCTGTTTTGTAACGATATAAGAGGTTTCAGTCTTGCTACCTTGCTCACTCTGTGAGCATGAAACTGACGCCTAGCAATTTTCACAGACACATTCTTATGTGCGAAATTGTTCCACTGTGTTGTCAACTGACAAGCAGTGTCGAACTTCGACAACCTGGACATCAAAATCAGTCGTCGGTCTTCACGGCCAGTAGTTTTTCTTGGACTACCCATCAGAGGCAATTTGTCTCTTGATCCAGTGTTTCTATACCGAGACCAGACCCTCTGCACGGTTCTGATTGAACAATTCAATTGTATCGATATTCTGACATTGCTTATATTCCGCCTCTCCAGGTTAATAACTTGCACCTATAACCGTTAGATAATTGTCTGTATCTTCAATATTGGAGGAAGACAGGAATAACATTTGCTGTACATGTACAAGACCAACAATACAATTCCATGGTATAGCGGTTTTGTACTCATTAGTCACATTATAAGTAGACCAGGCATTATAAGTACCCAAGATCTGCCTAATTTTATTACTCTGAGTTAGGGGGTGACATTCTATTGTCCAGTGTGTGTATTTTGCAATGATACCGTTCCAATACTTAGTTTCAGAGATTGGTCAATGCTCAGTTACCCCATGCAAAGGGAGTGAAAGTCACTTTGCTCTTGTTGATGGTTATAAGTGTATTTGTGTCCTGCCTGGAGACGGCGCTAAATGTATTAAAGGTAGGTAAACGATACGGCGTCTTGAATTCTTTAATATTTGAAAAAAAAAGAGGTACACAAGTCGCAATATATCACCATGTGGTTTTTATTTAACATACAGCATCGGAATTTTAGCTGCGTCATGCATCCCGAGGATGTTTTCGAAACTCCATTAAAAAAGTTGCGATTTCCAGTCGCGGCTATTGGGAATAAGCGTCAATTACCTGAAGTAAAAAGATGCATGTATTAGGTATATTTTCTGACCTTATCCCTAATGACCATATGCCTTCTAAGTCACAAGACATGTCTGAATCTCCATTATCTTTTTAGATAAGTGTGCTAGTGATCTTTGCCACAACGGAGCTGTGTGCATCAAGAATGAGACGACTTACCAGTGTATCTGTCCAATAGGGTTCCATGGAAAACACTGTGACCAAATAAGTAAATACTGATAACTTAATAAGTAAGACAAGGTCGAGAAAAAGGAAATGTATTTGCAGTACAGTTAAATTTTCTTGACATTAAAAACGGCTGAGGTCGAACAAAAGCAAGCCAACTCACGGGGATACAAGAATATATTCCACTTCAATCATTCATCAGTGATAGGGGACATTTTTTTACCTGACTGCATCTTGTTTCCTACATTCAATAATTGCCCGAGGGCCTCCTTTGACTTTTTAGATTGGTGTGCTGGTGATCCTTGTCACAATGGAGGTGTGTGTATCTACAATGAGACGGCTTACCAGTGTATCTGTCCACCAGGGTCCTATGGAAGACATTGTGATCAAATATGTAATTATGATTGATTTATGGAAAAATGATGGGGGCAGTTGCTGTGCAATTGTCCAATTTCTCAGGTTTATTATTTGTTTTAATTTTGACATTTGTCTACTTGCACTTTCTGCACATAGTAACCAATAATGTTATTACAGCGAGTGCATTGGACCACTAATTAGGAAGAAGATTAATAAAACAAAAACACTTTTTCTACCATGAAAAGGTTTATTCTGCATTATTGCCCATTTAAGCAAACTAAAAACTCTTCTGTTAACACCCGGAAGAAGAAGGATAGGGGCCATTTCAATCAAGCATCAGTGGTAAAATACTGCCTACGGGCCTCTATTGTCTTTTTAGATTGGTGTGCAAGTGATCCTTGTCTCAATGGAAGTATGTGTATCAACAATGACACGACTTACCAGTGTATCTGTTCACCAGGGTTACGCGGAAGACACTGTGATCAAATAAGTTAATATTGATTATATTGGTATTTTTTAATATTCGAGTTTGTCTACTTGTTTTATCTGTCTTGATTACGAATAGTTACCACTGTTCTGAAAGAAGATTAATTAAACAAAAGAATTTCATCTATGAACCATAATAAGGTTTATTCCACGCTTTCAACGATTTAAGCAAAATAAAAAAGTTTTTCTGTCCCCGGAAATAAAGTTATGACGGCCGTGGCAATGAAGTATCAATGGTCAGAGGCAGATGTTTGTTCTGGACGAGTCTTATGTTTTTAACATTCAATAACTGTCTACGGACATCATTTTCTATTTTTAGATTGGTGTGCTGGTGATCCATGTCTCAATGGAGGTGTGTGTATCAACAATGAAACGTCATACCAGTGTATCTGTCCAACTGGGTTCCATGGAAAAAACTGCAGTGAAATAAGTAAATATTATACTGATTACCTTATATGTAAGACATGGTTAGGAAAAGATTATCTATTTACAGTACATAGTCCAATCTTTCGGTATTCAATGAGAGAGCTGCGTTGATGTCGGCGTAACATGACAGAGAGTCAGGGAAGGCTCGATCGCCCTAGATTTTGATCCACTTAGATCAGGCCAACCCTAACCATTATAACTAAATTGAGGGCGAACTTTCTGTTACACAGACCATCAGCTTCGCTACACCGGAATGTTGTCATGTTTTGTCCATTCCACTAAAAGAGAACTACATTGTATAGGCTCATTAACCTGCAATGACTGAACGAAGTATGCATAATGAGCCATAATGATTATTAAAATTATTAGTAGTTTGAAGCGTTATCTTTACAAAGTCGTTATTACCATGCACCATGAGTAGTTTTACTACATTTGAAATGGTTTTAGCTAAACATAAGGATTCTTACACTCACAGTAGACCTATAGGCTTTATTGCAATCAAGCATCGATGGTAATAGAGACAGGTTTTCCAGATGACTGCATCTCATTTTTTCTCCATTCAATAACTGTCTACGGCCCTTCCTTGTCTCTTTTTAGATTGGTGTGCTGGTGATCCTTGTCACAATAGAGCTGTGTGTATCAACAATGAGACGACATACCAGTGTATCTGTCCACCAAGATTCCATGGAAGACACTGTGACCAAATTAGTAAATATTGATTATACATGTATAACTATCTATCAATTTGGAGTTTGTCTACTTGTATTTTCTGCATTGGGTACTCGTAGTTACCACTGTTTTGGAACGTTTATTGAAACAATTTTATCTATGGACCAAGATGAGGTTTATTCTACATTTTAAGTGATTTCATTGACATAAAAACGTTTCTCTGCTAACTTCTATAAGTAAAGTTAAGGCGATCATGGCAGTGAAGCATCAATGGTAAGCGAGAGTTTTTTCAAAAGACCGCCTCTCTTATTCTTCATATAATAACTGACTTCAGACCTCGTCTCTTTTTAGATTGGTGTGCTGGTGATCCTTGTCTCAATGGTGCTGTGTGTGTCCACAATGAGACGACTTACCAGTGTATCTGTCCACCAGGATTCCATGGAAGACATTGTGATCAAATAAGTAAATACTGATAACTTAATACGAAAGGCAGTGTGTGTATACACCATGATTTTGCAGTACAGATGAATGAAAAGATTTCTTTGGATTAAGCTAAAAATACAGTGGCAACTTTTGAATATACAGGGATAAATATCGCAAACAGGCATTAGTAGTTTTAATTACATCTTGTTTTCAAAAAGTCTACGGGCCTCCATCGTCTTTTTAGATTGGTGTGCTGGTGATCCTTGTCTCAATGAAAGTGTGTGTATCAACAATGAGACGACCTACCAGTGTATCTGTCCAACAGGATTCCATGGAAAACATTGTGACCAAATAAGTAAATATTATACTGATTATTTAAGAAGAAGAAAATTATGTTTGCAGCACATGGCCTGTTGTCCAGTTTTTTCGTTTTTCATTGATAATTTCTATCGTCTTTTGTAAACTTGTTTTATCCGTTTCACTTTAAGTAAACTACACTGTGATGCACAATGTACATGGTGTTCGATATGCAATACAAAAAATAATAATAATGTTCATTTGACTCTAAAACCCAAATTTGTTCAGTAGACTTTACAATGCAATGTGAATAAATAATACAAACGCTAGAAAAAGAAAAGAAAAAGGATTAAAACAAGAAAACTGATTTATAAAATAATGTACAAATAGAGTAAGTTTATCACTCACTTCAAAAAGTCGTTTATAAAAGCCTATTCGTAAATAAAAAAATAAGAATTGATCTATTGAATTTAATTATACATTAAAACAGTCTTAAGCTTAACTTAGCTGAGGTAGAGGGGCAGGTTCTACAGGTATTGAAGTCAAGATCCAATGGTCAGAGACAAGCTTTGTTTTACTGTATTTCATTTTCTTAATTCAGTAATTGCCTCCTTTGTCTTTTTAGATTGGTGTGCTGGTGATCCTTGTCTTAATGGAGGAGTGTGTTTCACGAATGAGACGACCTACCAGTGTATCTGTCCAGCAGGATTCCATGGAAAACACTGTGATTACAGTAAATATCAATGAAATAATAAACAAAACAGAGTTGGACTGTATTTTCTGTACACGCCCTTTTCAGATTTTCCGTTTTTTTTTTCTTTTGACATCGTACAACTAGCCTGCTTAAGTAAATGTTTTACTGATGACTTAACAAGTAGCAAGGGGTAAGAAAAAAGAAATGCATTTGCAGTACATGCACTTGTCCTATATTTTCGTTTACTTTTTCGAAACTTGTCTACTCATTACTTTCACTTTCTGCTTTACACTTAGTCAGCATTGACATAATGATAAAAAAATATTTCACATGACTACTACTTTTAAGAAAAAATGCTATTCCCACGGTACATATACAAAAAGTTTATTGTACATTTCAAACTATTAAAAAAATTGAAAAACGTTTTCAAAAAAGAATATAAAGCATCAGTGATAAAAGAAGAGGTATTTTGCTGCCCACTTGTCATATTTTGTACAATAGACAACTGTTTATGGGCCTCCATTGTCTCTTTTAGATTGGTGTGCTGGTGATCCTTGTCACAATGGAGCTGTGTGTATCAACAATGAGACGACTTACCAGTGTATCTGTCGAACAGGATTCCATGGAAGACATTGTGATCAAATAAGTAAATATTGATTACAGGTTTGGTTGGTATTTGCTTTACATACCCATGTCCGTATTTTCCGTTCTGTCTTTGAGAATTTCGGAGCCAAATAGACTTGTACATTTGGCAGGCGATTTGTATACTTCCCAAAATCTTTTAAAAGAGACATTGTTCAGCTGTCTTCTTGTAATATTTGTATTTATTTGAAGCACGCATAAGTTGCAAAAATATAAGTTAGGGTTGTGGAAAAATCATGACTTTAGCATAGTGCAGGATTGATGTCTGAGTCAATTAGATAATATTACTGCAACACGTAAAATATATCTTGATCATCCATTTTTGACCTTTTATTTGACAGATTCTCTCTCCTGCGAGATAAGGCAACATGGCAAGATAAAAAACATTGATTGCAAAGGACTCTTATTAAATATTGTTAAATTCAACAAGTTTATCTGATTCCAGTTGAAAATTCGACCACAGCCGAGTCAAACATTGCCCTTGCAGCTGCCCAAAAGACGAGCCCTGGCAGTATCACCGTTGTGGTCCCTTCTGTCGCAGCAGCTGGAGTGGTGCTGGTATGCGTGGTTTGCATTGCCGCTGCATTGTGGAAGCGGAAACGGAAGAAAAGGTATCTCGGTTCTGGTGTTGTCTGCTTTTTGCTAGTTTTAGGGACTCAAAAGTTGGAACTTTGTAAGAATTATGAAGAAAAATGTATGTAAATAAGTTAAATTGCAGGTCTCATTTTCACGTTATTTAATATTTTATTCGATTATTGGATTAATAGTTAATTATTTGATTAATATTTAGTTAGTTAGTTAGTTCATTTCATGTATATTATTAATTTGTAGAAGAACTAAACTGGATATTGTTCTCGCAACAAATGACGACCCCTTTTATTTTTATATTTGTACACATTAATTCAATTATCATTCATTTGTTTGATTATCTGTTGTCTATTTTGTTTTTATGGGAGGATTGCTGAACGTCTATTTTACTATTTATAGGAAAATTAAACCTGCCCCGAGTGATGCCCCCTTGGACCAAGAAGAACAAAATGACGTAGATGATGATGAAGACATTTCATGTTCTCCTCCTTCAGAAGCCGTTATCGCAGACCCCCCAGCAACTGCCGTTTTCTCAGCGACTCCTTCTGGATCAAGCTCCGAAAGGTTACACACCGGAAATAGTGAGAATAGTAAGGGCGACTTGGACCGAGAGGAACAAGCTGACGTAGAAGATGATGATGAAGGGACTCCATGTTCTCCTCCTTCAGAAGCCGTTATCGCTGATCCCCCAGCAACTGCCCTGTTCCCAGCGACTTCTTCCGGCTCAGGCTCCGAAGGGTTACACATCGGAAGCAGTGAGAATAGTCATGGCGACTTGAAAGTGATCGATCCTGGACAATCGGATCAAAGTCATGGTATTACGGCTTCAGGTGACGAAGCACACCTCGTCGGAAGTTCGAAGAAAGCACTCCCTCGGCGACTGCCGCCTTTGCACACATAAAATTGTGTACAATGCCACAGTAGTATAGGGTGTTTTGTATTTTTTTCGCCATATTTGATATAACAAAAGGGAAATAAGGATGAATTGCACAATGTACAGTGTATATGCGAATTTCTGCTTGGACACTGAGAAGGGACAGCCTTGCCAGCCGAACTTTGTGCCAATTGTGATTTTTTCAGAGGTATGGACATGGTCTACCTTGGAGATCAAGAGACAATTGCTGCAAATTCCAGGAATTTATGTTACTATGCCACTATTTAACACGCACTGTATGCTCTATAACCTTCTATGTCTAACCAGAACCACGTAATAATAAAGCAATAGAAGATGATGATGCCGCCTTTGCATGCACATTATGGCTTAAAACGCAGTAGTATACAGTAGCATAGGGTGTAAAGTACTATTGTTTTTTTTTTTTTTTTTTTTTTTTTTTTTTTTTTTGCGGTATGTTATACCTGAGTAATGATGGCAGTGCTAGGTTGATACCAGGCCAGAGATTGCTTATGCTTACCAAAACCAACATGAAATACAACGTTTATACCTTGTATACTTGTCTTATTTTTTCATTGAGAACACACATTTTAAAATGATTCAATAGGCCTTTTGCAGCTAGATGGCTAGATGTTGACTTATTTTTTACTGCTCTTCAGCATTCTTTTGTTAAGAAGTTAACATCTAGCCATTCAAACGAAGCTGCAAAGGTCTATCAGAAGTGGAGAAATATCAGATAAGTCTATTGGCCAAATGAAGCTGTTTGCATTTTTTTTACAAAAGTTGCAAGTTCATCACTTTGTGATAATGTTAAAAATCTTATACTTTTGTTCTTCGTGTGTTTGCCAATTTTCCTTTAATATCTTCTTATTAAAATACAGATATGTATACGGCTGTGTTACAGTGTAACTACATATCCTCTGAGCAACGACAAACTTAAATCAAGTATTATTCAGGGCTTTGTGATACTCAATCGAGTCAATATTATGCTGTCGTTATTTTCATATCAAATACGAACAGGAACTTGTGCTTGGAGAAACTTGTTGTTCAGTTGAACGGGCTACCAGACAAGTAATTCAGCCCAATTATGTGAACCTTTACCTGTCTGGTGCTTAGAAAAACTTGCACTTTCAATAAATATGGATACGACTGTGTCAACTTGATACTTTCTATGAGGGTTAAAATCAAACTTGGTTTTCAATCTAATGGCTTGGTAAATCAACGACAACGCCAAAAGTAAACAAAGTGGTGATTGCTGCTTCCTATTAATCAGTCGATGTAATATTATGCTACCGTATCAAACAGATTTTCATGAGAAAAGGAACATGTTGGGTAAATTATTTTTACAATTAATCATCAACGGCAGTCATAACAAAACAAGAAAGACACGCTTTTAAATAGTCAGAGAAAGATTTATCGCTGTTGACTTGCTGGTGTTTCTATTTTGTAAGACCTTCACCGCCTCCTTTGATTTATCACATTTAGACTAGCGACACCTACGTCTGTTATGAAATACCTCCCTTTAGGTCTGGTAACAGCTATGTCCCTTGCCTCTTATATTAGGGCCCCACTAAAGCATTGTACATGTACTACACAAAATCACACGCTTTCAACATTACTAGCGCACCCTATGGTCAGAGTACCTCAATCCACTGGTCGGGGGTTGGACACAAGGCCAATACAGTCCCTATAACACGCCTTGGTCTGAATTATTTGTCACTGAAGTGAATCTGTGGTGTTCGATGTCACAAATCTTATCTTTTTTCTTTCTCTTTTTAAGAATGGGGTATTTCTGTGTATAAAGAATGCCCTTTTATATAAAGATAAATAATAGGCGTAAAGCTGTTTGCTTGTTTCTTGTGACCTGTAAAATAACTCTTCATAAGGGCTGTGTAGAAAATAGAGAAGGCGTCAGAAGCAGTCTGTCCCAGAAGAGGTAAAAGAGTCACCGTGAAAAATGAAACTGCTGTATTTTGTCATTTGCGTTTTATATGTATGTTTTCTGGGAGTCGACACAGGTAAGGCCATTTTATGGTTTAGTATCTTATTTGAATATTGTAGAACTACATATATGTAATATGTGGGTTATATATTGTGAACAAAGCACAACAAAGAATACTTCCACACTTGCAAAAGTTGTGATATTGTAATAAAATCTTAATAGTTAAACTACTTTCATATAGTTGTATAAAGGTAGTTTTAATATATAAGACACAACATCATAAAAACTAACATTGTGCATACACATCTTTATAAAAATGCATTAATATTTTGAGAAGTAGCACCAAAGAAAATGACATTTTACATAAGTCGGTTATTGACAGAAATCGTAGATTATTTAAGATAGTTTAAAGATATTAAGATTAGAGCTTATGATGTAGTATTGTGTCGTACATTGTACCGTCAAATATGCACGCGCCCTGAAGGCAAAAGAAAGGAAAGGGCTTTGGAAAAGCGTGGGGAAATTATAGTAGGTCCTGGACTGGTTCCTTTTCCATGTTAGATGTCGCAGTGCTGCCGCTGAGTCACGATGCTACCGGTTAAAATCGGTTATCACATGATCATGTAATGAACAGTAAGTGACACCAAATAAGTTAAAAGCATCCTGCAGAATGCCATATCCTTGTCTTATCAGTGACTGATGTAATTTATAAACAGAAGTAGCCTTCTGGTATACGGTGTCTCGCAGGATCTTGTGGATAATCTATATATATTTAATGACAAATTAGAAGAATAGCGGGTATGTCGGTAATGAGAACAGACGTGCTTGCATATGGGTATATGTGATCTAACACAATATGTGCATCTTATGGAAAACAATTCCTTCATCAAGAAGACAGAGCAGCGAATAAATTTGAAAAGAATATCTGATCACGTTTTCCGTGTACATATAATCTGTAGATAATGCGGTTATTTAAAAATACTAAAAAACAATTATTCTGTCGCCGACAATTTTATTGGGAGAGACAGGGATAACTCTAGCTGTAAAAATATAAATGTTAATCGTGTCATAGTTAGGCTTCCTTCTTTGCCTGAAATAATGGCTGATCTAGCCGAAAAACGAAAATTCAGTCGCAATTTTGAGTCAGACGATTACAATTTTTGTTATGAGTTAGAAGATAATGGTATTTCAAAGCTCAAGATGTACCACAGCTGTTTTTGTTACTTCCACGACGCTGTTTTAAAATTATTTATATATAAGTTGTCTTTAATGGTACCATTGGTCAAGTCAAGCTTTTTAACAAAATTAAGCTCTCCCTCATTTTCATTTTAGATGTTCCTGATAATACAGGTGTGGCAGGGGTGCACGTACTAGTAACGCGAGTCCTGGGAATGCAAGTCCTGGGAATGCAAGTCTTAGGACATGCATTGCTAGGAATGGAAGTCCTAGGACATATGTTACTAGGATTCAATGTCCGTAGGACAAAGAGTCCCAAGTAATGTAACTCCTACGTGTAGTAATGCACGTCCTAATGGGACGTGCGTTCCTGACTTTTAAGTAACGCATGTCCTATATAGTTTACACCAAGAAATGACATGCATAAATAGATATAGAGACATACTAATTTTAAAGATGTAATAAACGTTTGCTTTATTCTATTTATATGACATTTTATCGTTATATTTTACAATGTTTTTATTTTTCGATAGGCAGTTTTTATGCATATTAATGAACAAACAAAAACAATTTATTTATTTTATGCGTATTTTTCATCTAGTAAATATATATAAACAAAATAAGGCACCATCCAAAGGCATCCCTTATTTTCATTCTTTGAGGTGTACAGTGTATATTATTTCATGTCCTTTTCTACTGGGGTGTACCTTTTGTGTTTTTTGTCTTATTTTCTCTCTCTCTCCTTTTCAAAACCTTATTCCTATGAGAAAAATCACTAAACACTGGATCTCCGTTCTTAGATTTATTTTTCGTTTTACACTCGCTGAAATTGAAAAATAACCTCAAACTCGATGGAAATTTGCTCTTGGAAAGTATGGGCTGAGATTTAAGACAAATCAAGACAGTTTAGAAATTGAAAATTGCAGTAGATGTATATAATGTTCTGTAATAACCTTTTGCTATTTTGGTGCTTTGACACTTAAAAGACAAAACAAAAAATAGTTGTAAATGTAATGAGCACGGAATTTCGAACACATATTAGACATGAAAAACACCATTAAACATTATGCTACAAGTAATAAATAGGGGAAAGGGTGGGTAAGGTCATGTCAAAGGTAGGTCTCGAAACCATAGATGTAACAGAACGTTTCATGAATTCTTACCTTGTGGTCTTGTTAGCTAACCACTATACAGACGATATGAAGTTGCAAACCCCTCGTTTTTTGTCTGATATATGGCGCACCAGAAGGATTTCATATACATCTATAGTTTTATCATTTAACAGTATTATTGCTTAAGGAAAGGACTTTCAAATGACCGGACTTATATTACTGTCATGGGTGTAACAGGAATAAAAGTCCGACAGTATTACAAGTCCTACCTACTCTTATTATGAGCCAGGAACCTAAGTCCCTGTAGGACTACTACATGTATTCCCAAGTAATGTTAGTCCTCGGTTCCTGGGGGACTTGGATTACTGTTACACCGGCAAAGAATTCATTATAGCTTTCATGGACAATGCATTCGTAGATCCAGTCAGCCTGAATCTATTCCTTACAACCAACTACCCTTCTATCCAAGTCCGTATATCTGCTCACCCACTGTATCTCTACCGTCCACCACTTCTTACTAGAACAGCCAGCGTACGTAGGGGTTCAATAACGCAGGTTGAAATTCCTAATAGTTTTGTAACACGAACAAAGAGTTCAAAGGTCTCCATTTGTCTGCCGACGGGGAGTTCATTCTCTATGGTTCCAATGCAGAATCTTATAGTTTGGAGGCATTTGTAGCTCTCCCTGTGGATATTCTTGGACAGGAGTACATTGCTGGTAGCTACATATTTTGTACGAGTTCTCTTTTTCCGCTTATAGGACTGATTGGCGTTAACAACGATACAGATATTGAAATAACTGCTGACCCTGGCATGGATGTAATAGTAATGGGCCGCACTGTAAGTTCTAAAACAGTGATAAGTCTCAACATATTGGAAACCATTCAAATCCAATCTACCAGTGACGTCACCGGCACAAGAATCAATTCATCAAAACCATTAGCAGTAATGTCAGGCAATAAGTGCACTAACATTCCTTGTGGAGTTGGTGCCTGTGGTCATGTGGTGGAACAGATGTATCCAGTCGATAGATGGGGCTATACGTTCACAGTTGTTCCATCTGATGACACCGTGGTCGACATAACCAATGTCTCGCGTTTAGTTCTTCAAAAATCAGAGTTCTAGGAATTCTATAAAAGACGCAAAGCAACTTTTACAATATTTTCGTTTCAGATGTCCCTGACAACAGTGGCAAGGAATTCGTCATCGGTTTTATGGACAATATTGGCATCGAAAGTTTGAACTTATTTCTCACCACCAACAATCCTGCCACAGTTGAAGTCAGGATCTCTGCCCATCCCAACCT